CGGCAAAGACAAAAAAAAAAAAAAAAAAAAACAGTAAGGTCATTAATAATGTTACAAAGCAGCACAACTCTTTTTGACACTGAAAATAATAAGAAATGTTATATTAGAGTGCATATTAGAGTGATTTCTGAAGGATTTCTGAGGACTGGAGTAATGGCTGCTGAAAATTCAGCTTTATTATCACAGGAATACATTACATTTTAAAATTAAAATAGAAAAAAAAAGTTAGAAAGTTATTTTTGATCAAATAAATACAGCCTTGGTGAGCATAAGAGATGTCTTGAGATGCTAGATCTTTAGCTTATGAATGCATTTAATTTGCTTAATCTTGAGTTTCCAAGTTGGAAATCCAACTTCCATTGTACAGAATACAACATTAAAGCAAGCAGATCTTTTGTAGCTGCATAATAGCAGCTGATTGGCTGCAGTTTGTCCTATTTAGAACCAATCAGAGTTTGTAGATCTGGGTCCTGAACCGATTATCTGCTTCAATCATATGTCTTCAAGAGCAAAAACACTGTTTTTTGCATCAAAATGTCAAGAAAACTGCAGAGATTTTATGGTTTGTCGCCGCATGCACTCAAGGCACTCTGCACGCACATTAGCACATTTGAATGACACTTCCCAATCAAGCCCTAACGTGTCCGTCTGCTAGCCCCTCCTCCTCTTCGCTCCTATTTGCGAGTGGGATTTCTGTGTGGGTTTGTTTACTGAATGCAGCCGTTGCTGGAGGCTATCAGGGCTGGATTCCCACATTACCTGCCAGTCAGTACCGAGACAAGGCAATGCTATGGCAACGCAGTCCTCTCTCATGGAGCCAAAAGGAAGGAGCACAGGGGCTTCACAAAAGAGGACAATGGCACACGCACACACATACCTACACAGAGCTGCTTACAAACGCATACGCACATACACGCTTCACCTCAAAGGAATCATTTCAGTGTTCTAGCGGTGTGTTCATTATGCAAATACAATCTTGTATTTAATGCCAGCGCATAAAAGACTGCGCCCACCAAGTCCGTCTGTGAATGCTTTCTGCGTAGACGGCTGGCATCCTGCTTCTCTCCCGCTCTCTGAGGCTTAGGAGCATTTTGTCTTTATTTATTTAGGACAATTTCTACATCATTAGTAATTTATTTAACAGGTTTAATTGGCCCGGTTGGAGGCGTAGGCTACAAGAGGGCTGCCATTGTCTGTTTGTAATAACAGTTATCCTGAAGACACTACTTCTGCCATGCTGAGGATTTTGGGAGAAGGTCTGCTAATAACAAACAGCACTCCGACGCTTCAAACTAAGACAGCCATGAGACGCCAGTCCAGTGAAAGGAAAAGTTCTGATCACAATGGTATCATAAATTTTCTTAATTTTATCTCATAATCCTAAAAAAAATAAAAATAATTAAATAGTCCAATTCAGTTTAGACCAGTTAATGTGCATGCACATTGCCAACAAACTCATCAAAAATGGGAAATGGCAAACTTAAAGGCGTACTTTCATTCCTAGAATCGCCATTTTTATTTTTCATGTATTTTTCCATGAGTGGTGTCTCTCCTGCTACTTATGTCTCTGTCTTTGCTCTCTGTTTAACTCCTGTTCACTTTCTCTCTCTGTAACCCATCTGTTGGCATTGTCTTCACTAATACATCAGAGAGGATGGGGATTTGCCAGGGCTGTCTGGAGAAAAGATGTGACTCGGTGGGATTGTGGGATTGTTACGTGTCTGCAGAAGCCCCTGCATATGAATGCAGCTCTCTCCATGCAGTCTACCAAAACAAACTTAAAAAAAAAAAAAAAAAAATCTTTATCTTTGTGTTTCTCTAGAGCTCC